CAAACTTGCTATTTGAAGTTTTCCTCAATAACACTCTGCCTTATTCATTGAAGCAGGATCTCTCGATCCCAGAGCTCACTGATCTGACTAATCTCCCCTCTCTACCTTCTAAGTGCTGAAAGTACTGGTGAGCCGGCACATCCAGCTGACATTCACGTGGTTCTGACGCTCTGAACTCTAGTCGTCATGCTTGCCCAGCAAGCACTTTTAGCCCCCGATCCATCTCCCAGCCTGAAAGGAATATCTTGTGTAAAGTGTATTTCTGTGCTGGCCAAGTATTTTCATGGATGGGGGGACACTCACATGAGTGTACAGAAGAAGTGCTAACACATATACATGCAGAAGGCAGGGGAAGGAGCTGGCTCTCTTCCTCTATTGCTCCTTGCTTTATTGCCTTCTGACAGGGTCTCCCTCTGAACTAAAGCTTGGTGTTTCCAATGAGGCTATCTCGACAAAAAGCTCCCAGGATCTGTCTGTCTCTGCCCCCACTGTTTTGGAATTTCCTGCCCAGTTCTGCTGCCACCTTGGAGCCCCCAAATAAATACACAAGATTTATATTAACTATAATACCCCACAGTGCCAGGTTTACAAGTATGTGACTACCAAGAACTCAACTCAGGTCCTCGGGCTTGCATAACAAGCAGTCTAACCCACCAGGCCATATGCTCACCCAAATCAGATATGTTCTACTCTAGTGGGATAGTCATTTAACACTCAGCAGCATGTCACTGGGAGGGAATGAAGGCTTTTAACAAGCAAAGGAAGCTAGAATCATCCCTGAGGTGTTGGGACAGACTTGGAGACAACTTACACCTATTTCCTGGCTCTGTCTGCTTGAAGAACCTAGAAACGATTAAAACCAAATGGCAACAACTATTCTGAAGCATACATCTTAATTTCTAAACACTATTCTTTGCTAAAAGGAAAAAGGACTTGAAAAAATGGCAGTTCCCTTGACTAGGGTGAGGGTTAAGCCTTGTAAGAGAAGGGGCCAAAAGGCAAGGAAGTGTCCAGAGAATGGTGGGGATATAGCAAGGGGAAAGGATCCAGTTTAAAGGGGCCCCTCAAATGTGAGACAAGTTGAGCATCAAGATGCAAGATGAGTAGTGACAATCACATAATTCACTGAATAAACAGATAATAAACAAATAATTCACTCTCATACAGAGAGAGACAGAGACATCTAGAAGGAACCAGTCTTGTTGACACCTTGATTCTAGCCTAGGGAACCCCACTTCGGACTTTCTAACCTCCAGACAATGGAAGTGTGCTATTTCAATTCATTTTGTGGTCATTTGCTACAGTACCAACAGTTTGCTAACAAAGGAACTTTAGCCAAAGGACCAAAGTCATCACACCAGCACCTCACATGACAGGACTCCTGATACTGAGAATAAGTCACTGTTATCTCTACAGTATTCCTGCCAGAAATGCACTGTTTGGACCTAATCATAAGGAAACAGTCACACTCAAACTGTAGGCCATTCTGCAAAGCAACTGTCCTGTATTCTTCAAAAGTGTCAGCCATAATGGCACAGGCTTGGGAACTGATCTAGATTAAAGGCAACTATAGCAGGTAGACTAAAGGCAATGCTAAGTATTTCCTTTGTTATAAAGGACATTAGTTATTTGGACAGTTAGAGGTGTTTTAAAATGGCGTGTGTGTGTGTGTGTGTGTGTGTGTTTTAGCTATTAATACTATTTTTATATTATTTCCTTTTATTTATTGGGTTTATTTTTTCAGTAGGGTCTCACAGTGTAGCCCAGACTAGCCTCAAACTCCCAATCTTCCAGTCTCAACCCTTGAGTGCTGAAATTATACGTATGCAACACCACACATGCCCTTCCAGACTTTTTATCAATCATAGGACTGTGATTACATGAGAAAACACCTTTCTATTTAGAAAGCACTATGGAAATGTTTATAGACAAAATCAAATTGTGCCTGGTGTTGTATTTTGGGTAGTTTGGGGAATGGGGAAAATGTGCAAGTAGTCATCGGGGTGTGCACATTCAGTGCCAGCTACTTGGAAGGCTGAGACAGGAGAGTGGTTTAAACCTGAGAGTTTGCAACCAGACCAGCAGCACAAGAACCATTCTCCAAAAGGAGGAAGAGTGAATTAAGACTATAGCTCAGAGAGTCATCTGACGCAAGCGACCTGCTTGCCGGACCGAGTTCGGTAGTTCCGAACACCGAACACCGAACACCCAGAAGTAGCCCAGTCTCCATCTGCTGGCCCAGGTAGGCCAGGAACTGTTTCCGGTTCTGGTTCCAGTTTGTCGACATCGCTGCTCAGAGTCATCTGACAGAAGCGACCTGCGTGCCGGATGGAGTTCGGTGGCAGGATCCCACACACCGAGGCCCGGTGATAGCTCTGCCTCCAACTGCCAGCCGGGCAGGACCCAGCATGCCCGAACAATGCTGACACCCAGGTAACAGTGACACCTCCATCCAAGAGAAGAGGACCGACATCAGAGTATTGGATCTGTTTGCATCTACCGGAAGAGAACCTTGCTCCCACACCAACCAGGAGAACAAGAAACTCTTGCTACACCCACCAGAAGAAAGGATGAGAAGAGGACAAGACAAAAGCACATCCAACAACAGAAAACCCAATATGTCACCACCGAAGAATAGGAGCATCCACCAGCCCAGGTAGGCCAGGAGCTGTTTCTGGCTCCTGTTCGTCGTCAACACTGCTCAGAGTCATCTGACACAAGCGACCTGCATGCTGGATGGAGTTCGGCAGCATGATCTGACACACCGAGGCCCGGTGACAGCTGTGCCTCCAACTGCCAGCCCAGCGGGACCCAGCATGCCGGAACACTGCTGACACCCAGGTAACAGTGACACATCCATCCACGAGAAGAGGACCGACATCAGAGTATTGGATCTGTTTGCATCTACCGGAAGAGAACCTTGCTCCCACACCTACCAGGAGAGCAAGAAACTCCTGCTACACCCACCAGAAGAAAGGATGAGAAGAGGACAAGATAAAAGCATATCCAACAACAGAAAGCCCAATATGACACCACCAGAGACTAGGAACCATACACCAGCAAGACCTGAACATCACAATACAGATGAACCAGAAGAGAATGACCTTAAAGCATGTTCATGAAAATGATAGACGACCTCAAAAAGGACCTCAAAGAGGACATGAGAAAATCCCTTAAAGAAATGGAAGAAAAAACAAACAAAAATGAAAAGATATCAACAAATCTCTCAAGGAAACAGTTCAAGACCTGAAAACAGAAATAGAGACAATAAAGAAAACACAATCTGAGGGAATGCTGGAAATAGAAAAGCTGGGTAAATGATCAGGAACTACAGATGTAAGCATAACCAACA